TAGTGATACTGCCTCGGAAACCCAAGGAGGGGTCGCTATGAGTCGGGGCCGACTTGATGGCACATAACAACAACAAACAACATCGCCAAGCCACATTGAAATAAAGGTGCAAAACCTGGTCAACCCAATGAAACAGAATGGACTTGGTAGCTGTCTATGTGGAAAAGGGATAGTAGGATGGGGTCTCCATTTGCCAACAGTATTTGTGTTTCTGGCACAGATGACTGGCGGGGGAGGTTTGTACTTGAGTGCAGCAATATACTTTTCAATGCAAACACGCTAAAATTAATGCCTGTTTTTTCCCTTGCAGGATGAAAACATAATGCGTTCCATGCAGCTCTTTGAAAATGTGATTTAACTTGTCAAATAGCTCCTCAATCCAACAGACAAATGTGAACTATCCTACCACACTTTAAGGCAGAGCTGTCACTTTAGCATAGATTGCTCAGCTTAACACTGAGGCATATTATGCAAACAAGCTTTTTTTCAACATGAAGCAATCCCCGAGAGAAATGAGTTTTCCAGTTATAAATTTGCATCCTTTTCATAATGCACTGAGTTCATGGGATGTTCCATAAGTCATTTCATACCCTGTGAATAGTCCAAAGTAATAGAACCTGGAGTATAGGGTTTTCTTTTTTTAGATTCTTTAGCCACGGGATCACTGAGGCTTTCACTTACCAAAGTGATTTTAAAATAGCAGTGTTTTTTTGCTACAGGTTTGTATGGATTCAGACCCAGGATTTTAAATGGTTTTCTAAAATATTGGCATCTGCGTTGAATTTCCAGAAGTTAAAAGTCTGGATGCTGGGATTCCACTGATGTCCTTTACATGACCCACAACAGAAAAGGTAGCTACAATTAAAATAACACACACCGTCCCAGTTCCTAGGGATCTGCTACCTTCCGTTTAGTCTTTAATTTCACCTGGCATCTTTCGTAACATTCAACCGTTTATCACCAGACCTGAGCATATGTCTAATAAAGCCTATTTAATAAGCAGTTATTAAGTTTTCAAAGACATATTATAAACAAGGCCTATATAATCTAATTTTGGATTTGTTCAATTTATAAAAAAAGTCTACCCATTGTCGTCGATTCGATTTCGACTCATGCTACCCTACAGGATAGAGTACAAGTGTCCCGTAGGGTTCCCAAGGCTATAAATCTTTGTGGAAGCAGACTGCCACATCGTTCTCCCCTGGAGTGGCTTGATGGGTTCCAACCACTGAACTCTTGGTTGGCAGTGGAGTGCTTTCATCACTGCACCCCTAGGGATGACTATTTTGTATTGTACTATTAAGTGGAAGTCCAAGGCTGCAGCAAAGCAAGGATGTTTACAAGCATATGCTAAGGGTCCAGATGTTAGTTCTCTAGCACATCTTAACGCCTAGTAACAAGAAACCCTCAGCAGCATAAAGGCCTTTCCACCCTCAGCCCTAGTTGCTCAGAGCAGCCTTAGATCACAAGCCACTAAGAGGCACACAACACTGAATGACCCAAGGCCTACTGACAACAACCGGCAAGCAGAATCCCACTGCAAGCCCAGTCATTCCACAGTACTGGACAGTACGGTACCCAGATGAGTAGACAATGAGGACCCCTGCTGAACCACTCACCGGGCTGTATTATAATTTAGCTCGTCATGAAACTCCAACAGCGCTGATTCTTTTCAACAGTCTTAATCCAACATGTAAAGTTGCCACACAGTATTGAAGACACACGTATCTTCCCGGTTTTGCAGAAATACCACAAAGACCAAGAGGCTAAAGTAGGAGGAAATTTGCAATTGTCTTTGCAACAATAAATCAGGTATCTATTCTGGTGTAGAGATAGGATGTTGAAAGCTGCCCTGCTATCACCAGTGTAGAAATTAAGAGTAGTACAATACATGTACACTGAAATTTGCCATCGCGTATCTGTGTATACTCAATGTGCACATTTTGTATTTCAGAGAGAAAAATAAAAGCAAGTAAAATGTTTATAACTCTACTGTCTATGTTCTAGGTCTTTATTCTAACACGTTTTATAATTGTGAGATTGAAAATACTGCTTTCTTTTCTTAAAGCCTTTTCTAGATCTTAGGGATCACCACATTTGGGTGCAGCTAAGAGTGAGGAAGAAAACTAAAGGGGCAGTGGAGGTGGCGCTCTTAGCTAGTGTGACGCGAGGAGGTGACTGAGAGGGAGCTGAGGAAAGAGCGCTCCGGTGGACACGCAGGGCAGAAGCTCCGAGGGTGGGGGAGCGTTGCTGTAATTATGACACTTCAGAAATGACTTCCATTCATCCAAATTACAGTTGTGAGTCTGCATCTGAAATGAGAACTGCAGTGGGGTCACGGTAGGTATTCTGAGGGATGCTTCTAGGATGTAATATTGCTGCTCCTACAGGACAATGAGTTCCTTATTTCCATCCCTTCAAAGCACGGGTCCCCACCTGCATGTGGTATGGGCTACAACCAAGTCCTGGTGGCCTCGCTCACTGCCCAGGACACACAGGATCTTATCATGTATCATTTCTCTTGTACTCCTATCTGGAAGAGAGAGCCAAGAATCTGCTGCTACTACACGGAAAGTCTGAGACCTGTGTCTGTAAGCTATGTGTTACACATTTAAAAAATAGTAATTGTAAAACAGAGCAAGCACAACAAAATCACTGAACACGTATTAGAATTTGAAGATTTTAATTTCTGAGTATCTTCATGTATACATCAGTATTTTCAAGCTATGAAATACAAAAATAACATTTACTTAAATACAAGTAGTACCTGAAAATTTAGGTAGTTTAATGGGTTGGAAAAAAACAACATACTTGTAAGAGCATTTACACATTTAAAAAGACTTCTTAAACTGTAAAACTATGGAATACAACTTTTCCATGCATTCTACATTATAAAATAGATATTTACAAAGAATAACAGTGAATTTACAAACATTTGTCCACTATTTAAAATTTGTATACCCTTGATAAATATGAAACTGACAAATAATGGTAAAATATCTATAAAAATAAGTGCAGCTAAAAATTAACTGCAAAGTGCTATAAAAGGCAATAGGAAAAATGCAAACACATATGATCTTGTAAACTCAATATGGTTCTTCCCACAAACCATGAAAATGTAAAAGATAAACCCACAAAACTATACTGTTACAGAATTTTTAAAACCAGCTTTCTATTAAGAACCGTTCTTTATTATTGATAAGTAACTTTTACTTTGATTCAGTGGTACTGTCCTTACTCATTTTAACCTAGTAAATAATGTATTATGGTTGTGATTTACAGAAAAAGAAACTGAAATGAGTTTGAAAGTTTCCAGGGTACCCCCAGTCGGCCTTTAATACCTGTCAGCACCTAACAAGACGCTTGTTGGTCGGGTCCCCTGTTCAACAGCAGACAGAGCAGTATGTCGGGATTTTAGACTTGATGACAATGAGACTTCCCTGCGGACAGGAAAAATTTCACATCATTAGTATCCTGGGACCTTCCCTCAAAAGGTATTATACCTGCAGGAACATGCCTAACACAAGCCCATACCTATAAACAAACAAACAAGCACAAGAGCAGAGTAATGGAAAAAAGAACTTTTTTCAGTTAAATAACATGTAGCCTATTACTGTTTTTTAAAGGTATCTAACTAGAGAAGTAATTAGAAGCCAACTACCAGGACTTGAATCCAGCTTCTATCACTCACCGAAGAAGCCCTGGTGATGCAGTGCTTAAAGTGCTTGGCTACTAACCACAAGGTCCACGGTGGTGAAGCCGCTCTGAGGGAGGAAGATGGGGCAGTCGGCTTCTGTAGAGTCACAGCCTGAGCATCCCACGGGGCAGTTCTACTCTGCTAGGGTCACCATGAGTCAGATCACCTCCAGGGCAGAAGGCTCTCTCACTCCCTGTGCTGTCAAACATGGGGCTAATTACTTCTCTGCATTTGTTTCTTAATCTTTAAGGGGGCGTGGGGTAAACAAATCATACCTCAGAGGGTTCTAGTGAAGAACAGGTAAGCCTGTTAAAAGTCTAGAAAGTGCTCAGCAGAGCATGGCACAGAATCAGGTTCTCTAGCCCTCGATGTAGATGGGAGTGTGTGTTCATCACTGTGTGTCTGTCCCAGTACAGACATGCTTATCACTAAGAGAGAAAATGTCATCAGGCTAAGAAAGACCTGATTTCAATTTAAAACGGGAACAAACAAAAGGAGGCAAGCAGTAAAATGATCCCTTCTAAGTGTTACAATGTAGCTGTAACTGATAGTTTTGTTTCCCCAAAAGCTGTCTTTCCATCACTGTGATACACTCAGGACAAAAAATGGGAAACGGCAATATCGAAAAGAATCCTTTTCAAGACTCCTTCCGCACATTTAAAGGAAGAGAAGGACACATAAACTTTTAAGTTCTTAGAAGAAAAAGAACATTCATTAATTTCATAAGAATTACAAAGTACCAAAACAAGCATAAAAATAATAAAGTCAAGGGAAATCTTTGATATGCAATTTCAACTTTCGTTTGCAATTGCATTGATTATTTAATTATTAAAATACTGAGTGGAGCCCTGATGATGCAGTGGTTAAAGAGTTCAGCTGCTAACCAAAAGGTCGGCAGTTCAAACCCACCAGCTCCTCCGCAGGAAAAGATAAGACAGCCTACTTCTGTAAAGATCTGCAATCCTGGAACCCTGTGGGAGCTGTTCCACTGTCCTATAGTTTTACTACAAGTTAGAATTGACTCAAAGGCAATAGCACAAAATATTGTGTAGGAAATAAGGAGGTAAATGGAAGAGAAAAACTTCAGAGAAAATAAACAGAGCACTCAATAGCCCTTCCAACTACAAATTCAGTTGCCATTCTGTATCAGCAAGATTCAAAACTATTAAGACTGACTGGCAATAATACAGGGCTCTCGTGCTAGCCCCAGGACCTTGGTTAGTCAACTAACCATCTAAGTTCCCCTCCAAATCTTAATATGCTCTTTCTAAAGTTCATTTACAAGTAAGTTACCTCCAACCCCAAGAAATCTAACATGATGGACCTGCCCCATCTACTTGCCTCAATACTAGGCCACAAGACCTATGAAAACCACCTAGTGCACATTTCAAACCAAAAGCTGTGCCATCATTACTGAGCATCTGTTTACTTGAATTTCAAGGGGAAGAAAGGGCAAATTCATTCTGCATTCAAATTCTCAGGACAGTAAGCTTTTGCTTGCAAGAAAAGCTTACTTTCTGTTGAGAGGGGACACTGTGGACTGGCCAGGGAATGGTTCTGCATGTCTCAAGGTATCCAAATGTTAATCCTCTGCCTAGGGACTAACACATCACAAAGACATTCATCTTGTAAATTCAGAACTTACTTCCTCTTCATATTTTTTAATCTAGGTATTCATCATAAAAAGAATTTAATCAATTTTAAAGTCACTGAAATGGGTCAAATTAAGGAATTTAAATAAAACTGAAACCAAACCAAACTCAGTGCCATTGAGCCGATTCTGACTCACAGTGACCCCCACTGGGTTTCCAAGGCTATTAATCTTTATAGAAGCAGACCACCTCATCTTTCTTCCATGGGGTGCCAACTTTTTGGTTACCAGCCATATCTCTTAACCACTACAGCACGAGAGCTCTGTAAATAAAGCTTAAACTAAAATATTTGCCATTTTAAGATTGTATACATGCACACAAACTTTATAATTAAATTTTGTTAAAAACCACATAGACAACTCAATTCAGCAATGTTAACACAATTATGCACACAATTCCACCACTGAAGGCCTGATTAAATATAATCTCTGAAAAGAAGAAGAGGATCATTTCTTTATGAAAATCATTCTAAACCTCAACGATTTGAACACTCCTTTCAAAAGATGAAAATTGTAGTTATGTGTTAAGGTTATGTGTCAGCTTGGCTGGGCCTGGTTGAGTGGCTGGGCAGGGGTGGTAGTTACTCCCCATGATGAGACTGACAACAACTCCATGGTGGAATCTGCCACAAGCAGCTGAGTAGCTGCTTTCGGGATGTGGTCTGCTTCCTGTATATAAAGAGAAACTTTGGGAATGGTCTGCAGCTTTGGGCACTGGTGAACCCTGCATGTAGCCGAGCACTGTTCAGTAGGCTGATGATCTTGGAACTGTTAATGGACTTGAATTAGTGGACTGCTCTATGCTTTGATAATTTGGGGACTAGGCCATTGTACTTGTCGACCTTGGGTTTGTCAGGCTCAACAGTCTCCAGCCCCAGTAGGCCAGGAGCAAGAGGCTGAGCTGAAGCCCAAGGTCGAGGGGCTTTCACCCAGCCCCTAGAGCTGGCACTCTGAACTCAGACTTACAGTCTCCTCAACAGTAAGGAGGAGGTCTGGTAGCAATAAGGAGCTCTGGTAGCATAGTGCCTAAGGCACCTGACTGCTAACCAGTAGGGTGGCGGTTCAAACCCACTAGCCACTCCTCAGAAGGAAAGTTGGGCGATCTACTTCTGTAGTGATACCGCCTCGGAAACCCAAGGAGGTGTCACTATGAGTCA